AGGATGGAAACCATCCAAGGAATGGTGTGGGAAAAGCTCCGAGGGAGCAGCTGGGGAGGGAAAAGGCAATTTTGCTGTTTGGCAGGAGGTCAGGGGGATGTAGGAGGGTCAGGCCTGGAGCAAAGGGGAGCTCTGAGCACACCTGAACTCGCTCCTGCCCCAGTTCTGCCACGCCAGCCGTGCCCTGCTCTCCTCGGGCAGGGCCAGCTGAGCTCGGAGCCAGGGCCTACTTTAGCCTGGAATGCAGCAGGGCACAGGGGAGAGAGGCAGCAGTGCTGGGGCACGGAGTGAAATTTAATTGGGGTGATAATGTGGGTCAGCCCAGAGACCGAGCTGGGAGCGGCAGCACCAACAACCTACTTCTGCCAGCCCGCCCAAATAACCCGGTTTGGGCTCTGCCAGGGCTGCAGCCCTGCCTGCATCAGCTCCTGCATCAGCTCCTGCATCAGCTCCTGCATCAGCTCCTGCAGCCCCGCCTGCATCAGCTCCTGCAGCCCTGCCTGCATCAGCTCCTGCATTCCTGCCTGCATCAGCTCCTGCATCCCTGCCTGCAGCCCTGCCTGCATCAGCTCCTGCAGCCCTGCCTGCATCAGCTCCTGCATCAGCTCCTGCAGCCCTGCCTGCATCAGCTCCTGCATCAGCTCCTGCAGCCCTGCCTGCATCAGCTCCTGCAGCCCTGCCTGCATCAGCTCCTGCATCAGCTCCTGCATCCCTGCCTGCATCAGCTCCTGCATCCCCACACACATCCCTGCCTGCATCAGCTCCTGCATCCCTGCCTGCAGCCCTGCCTGCATCAGCTCCTGCATCAGCTCCTGCAGCCCTGCCTGCATCAGCTCCTGCAGCCCTGCCTGCAGCCCTGCCTGCATCAGCTCCTGCATCAGCTCCTGCAGCCCCACACACATCCCTGCCTGCATCAGCTCCTGCATCAGCTCCTGCATCCCTGCCTGCATCAGCTCCTGCAGCCCTGCCTGCATCAGCTCCTGCAGCCCTGCCTGCATCAGCTCCTGCATCAGCTCCTGCATCAGCTCCTGCATCCCCACACACATCCCTGCCTGCATCCCTGCCCAAATCCTGCTCACATCCCTGTGTGCATCCCTGCCCAAATTTTATCCACATCCCTGCCTGCATCATTTCCTGCATCCCTGCCCAAATCCTGCTCACATCCCTGCCCAGATCCCCACACACATCCCTGTGTTCATCCCTGCCCGTGTCCCTGCTCACATCCCTGTGTGATTCCCTGCCCAAATCCCTTTTTCACATCCCTGCCCTGATCCTCACCTGCATCCCTGCCTGTGTCCCTGCCCACACCTCTTGCTCCATCCCTTCCTGCATCCCTGCCCTCATCCCCATTGCTTTGGAGAACCCCCCCTCACAGCCCCAGGCTGGGAAATGTCAGAGCCAGCACGAGCCACATGAAATTCCTTTTCAAAGTTATGGATTGTGGAAATACAGAATGCACAGGGATTTCCCCCCCACACCCTTTTTTTCCTCCTTTCTTGCTTTTTTTCCTCTCTCTTTTCCCTCTTTTTATTTCTCTTTTTCCCCCTCCTTTTAAACCATTTTTTCCTCTCCTTTTCATGTTTTTTTTTCCCCTCAGAAACCTGCTAAGCCCTCCCCCGTTCCATGTGGCTCCTCCACCTGCACATTGGGATGGGGCCCTCAGCAGATGTCTCAGGGATGTGAAACCCTCAGAGCCCCAAGATAACGGGGTTTTACCCCAAAACCCACGCCTGAAACACACCAAATCCCCCAAAATTGTCACACAACTCCCATCTCCGTGTGCTGCAGCCACTATTGGAGTAGCTCTGAGAGCACCAGCTCTGGATGCTGGGAAAAAAAAACTGGGGAAAAAAAAAAAATCGAATCCCTGAATGGTTTGGCTCAGAGGAGACCTTGAAATCATCCTTGCCATGGGCAGGGATAATTCCCACTATCCCAAATTGCTCCAAACCCTGTCCAACCTGGCCTTCAACACTTCCAAGGATGGGAGGAAAATTAATATAGGAAAAAAAAAATATAAAAAACAAACTCCCAGCCTTGTTCCTTCCACCACAAGGATGGGAAGAGAAATTCCAGGCAGCAGCCCTGGGAATTCTGTCTGCACTCTCAGCTGGGCTGTGACCTGTTTGCTGTATTTGAAGCTTGAAATAGAGCCTTATGAGTAATGTGGTTCAGGTGCTTATCACCAATTAATTAATTCTTTTGCACCGTGGATACCTAATTAAAGCAGTCTCAGGTAATTCCTGGGGGAGGGTCTGAGATTATTGGGGCTGTTTAACGGGGTTGTTTCTCTGCTGATGTAATTTGCTGGGTGATTCCCAGAGGCTGGGAAGGGTCATTGGGCTCCCTGTGAGTGTTACTTAAAATAAAATTCTAATAAAGGTTTGATTGGGGTGAAATCATCGGGGGATGATTTCTCATCACGAGGATTTCTGCAGCCCAAGGCTTTGTAGGAGGGTTTTTGGGTTTTGTTTTTTTGTGGGGAAAAAGGTGAGGCTCTAGCCAAAAAAAAAAAAAAAGGATTTGGGATTTATTTGAGCTGAAAAATGCTTTGCAGAGGGGTGGGCCTGGCACAAACCCTGGCAAAATCCACATTTTCTGTGGATTTTCTTTTCCCATTTCCTGTGCTCACATGGAGGGTGCCCCTAAAATAGGAGTTTTTTAACCAAATCAGGGCAATGTCTTGTCCCAGTTCCTCTGGGGTGGTTTTGTCCCCACACCAGCGAGCAGGGATCGGTAAATCACGGAATCCTTGAGGATGGAGAAGATCCCTGAGATTCTGGAGCCAAACCATTCCCCAGCCTTGAATTTGGGGTGATTTGTGTGAGGCTCAGGGCGGGTTTGTCCCTTTCCAAATCCTCTTGGGAATGTGATGCTGGGAGAAACAATTCCATTTGCAGCTCTCCCTTCACCTTCCCTTCCAATCCTCATTTCCCCTCTCCCCATCAGGATCTTCATCTTGACCCTGGCCAATACTCGAGAGCAGGATGCTAAAAACCAAAACCCATGGCTGGATATGTTAATTAACATGAAATAATAGCTCTTGGCTTCTTCCCTTAATTAAGGGTCAGGAGTTCAGAGCTGGGTGAGCAGATGAGGAAGGAATTCCTGGCTGGGAGGGTGGGGATGCCCAATCCCAGGAAATGTTCAGTTCCAGGCTGGATGAACAACCTGGGATCGTGGAAGATCCCTTGGAATGGGATGAGCAGTCTGGAATTCTGTGATCCATGTGCTGGAGATCCATCTGTGGATTTTGGGGAATTTCTGAAGCTCCTCTCCTCCACTCCAGTCCCCCGCTGACCTCTGGGTGTTGTTTAACATTTTATTAAACCTTAAAAACCCAACCCAACCCCCAAAAAAAACCCAATTAAACCTTAAAGCATTTTCATTTTCGGTGCAGCTGAGCCCTGCTGGAGGCTCAGAGCTGGAGATGGTGTGACAGGATGTGTGTCCTGCTGGGGTGTGACAGCCCTGGCCCCTTCCCTTGTGGGTCACAGCACGAGGAGATGCCAGCCTTGCTCCCCAAAATCTGGGCATCCTCATTCCCCAAAATCTGGACTTCCTTATTTCCAAAAATTTGGACATCCTTATTCTCCAAAAATCTGGACATCCTCATTCCCTAAAATCTGGACTTCCTTATTCCTCAGGATTTGGGCATCCTTATTCCTCATGATTTGAGCATCTTTATTTTCCAGTATCTGGGGCATCCTCATTCCCCAAAATCAAAATCTGGACTTCTTATTCCTCAGGATTTGAGTATCCTCGTTCCCGAAAATTTGAACTTCCTTATTTCTCAGGATTTGGGAATCCTTATTCCTCATCATTTGAGCATCTTTATTTTCCAGTATCTGGGGCATCCTTATTCCCCAGAATTTGGGCACCCTCATTCCCCAAAATCTGTACACCCTTATTCCCCAAAATCTGGACATCCTTATTCCTCAGGATTTGGGCATCTTTATTTTCCAGTATCTGGGGCATCTCTATTCCCCAAAATCTGGACATCCTCATTCCCCAAAATCTGGACATCCTCATTCCCTGGTATTTGGATGTCCTTATCCTTCAGAATTTGAACATTCTTATTATTCCTCAAGATTTGGACATCCTCGTTCCCAAGTATTTGGGCATCTTTACTTCTCAAATATCTGGGAATCCATATTTCCCTCTGTGTGGGCTTTCTTATCCCTCAGGATTTGGGCAGCCTTGAATTTCCCAATATTTGGGAATTCTTATTCCCTGGTATTTGGGCATCCTTATTCCCCAAAATTTGGACATCCTTATTCCTCATGATTCGGGCATCTTTGTTTTGGGCAATCTTATTCCCCAAATACTGAGGAATTCTTTTTTCCCTCTCTATGGGCATCCTTATTCCTCAGTATTTGGGCACCTGGGAATTCCTTATTTGCCCTTTATTTGGGCATTTTTGGGCATCCTTGAATTCCCCAGGAGTTGGGCGTTCCCCAATATTTGGCCATTCTTGTTCCCTGGTATCTGGGAATGTTATTCCTCAGAATTTGGGCATCCTTATTCCCCCAGGGAGAGGGAACACCCAGAGCCTGATCTGCTCCCACCACTGGGATTATCCCTTCTGCACCAACACCTTTTTTCCCAGGATTTTCCCCCAAATAACCAGCCTGGAGCAGGCTGGGGGTTTGCTCCATCACCAGCACATTCCCCAGTGGCATTCCCATGGTTCTACTCCTGGGGAATTCAAGGATGCCCAAAAATGCCCAAATAAAGGGCAAATAAGGAATTCCCAGGTGCCCAAACACTGAGGAATAAGGATGCCCATAGAGAGGGCAAAACCCCTTTTTCCCAAGCCTGGGACAGGTCTGTGCTCCCTCCCTGTGCCACTGGGATGGAGAGAGCCAAAATCTTGGGATTTAGGATGTAGGAATGCTGGCAGGAGGGAGCAGAGCAGATATCCCAGGTCCTTCACCTGAACAATCTGGTTAAAAAAACCAAAAAACAACAAACCCACAAAAACCCTAAAAAACAAAAAAAGGAAGTGGAGCTGGGTTCCTGTTTACTTCAGTTTGAGCTTTTTGGGGTTCAGAGAGGGAACAAAGAGCTGCACGTGATGGCCACGGGGCAGGGATTGCTCCAGGGAAAAGGGACAGAGCAGGAATTGGAGGCTGGAGGTGGGTGAAGGGCACATCCCCATCCCTGGCAGAGCCAATCCTGCTTCCTTTAAAACCCAAACCGGGGATGCAAACATCGGGAATTCACCCTGGGATAATTGGGGAAGAGGAAAAACCCCAAGCTTTGCCTTGCCTTGAGAATTCCCATCCTTGGGAACGCCCAAGGCTGGGTTGGATGGGGTTTGGAACAGCCTGGGATTAGTGGGAGGTGTCCCCATGGCAGAATTTGGGATGAGGTTTAAAATCCCATTCCCAACCAAATAATCCTGGGATCAATAATTTGGGCTGAAACCCAGTCCCACCTCTCCCGTTGGATCGGATGCTGCCGGGATAACGAAGCTGTTTCCATGGAAACTGGCTCGTGGTTTTCCCCCCACTCTGTTGGCTTTTAATTGATTTATTTATTTATCTACCAGCACATCTCTGACCTGCAAGCTGCTTCCCAGGGATTTAAACACTGGGTTGGACATCCAGGATAAAAAAAAAAGGCTGGGAAAGGGAATAAAATCCCTGTGAAGAGGGGCTGGGAGCAGCACTGAGGATTAAGGGGGTTTTTTTTGCCCCAGAAAAGGCACAAATTGAGCTCAGACCATTTTCTCTCCTCGAGGAAGGAGTGAAACACGTGGAATTTGGGTGGATTAAGGCTCCATTCCCAGCCAGATCCGTAACTCCTGCTGGGATCAGTGAGACTATCCCATCTCCCACCCCCTGGAAAACGTGGCTCTGCTATTTTCTATTTTGCCTGTTGTATTTTTATACTTTTCTGGATAAATTTAGCAATTTTTTTTTTTGTTTCTTTCAGCTGAGCCACCTATTTTTAGCCATGGCTTTTAGCAAAAGATGCCTGGCAAAGCCATCCAGCCCCTCACAAGGGGTTCCCATGCTCCAGGATCCAGTTTTATTCCCAGTTATCCCCTCTGGATGCTGCATCCTGCCTGGTTTGGGGGAGGAAAAGGCAATTTTTGGGAGAGCCTGCTTGTCTCAGTGGGGATTCAGCGAGCTGGGATGGGCTCAGCTCTTGGGAAGTGCCGGGATAAGGAAAAATCCCAATGTGAATGAGATTTGGGACAAATCCCTCTATTGAAATACCCAGCCTGGACCAAATAAAAAACCTTTTCTGACCAAAAAAAACCCTTTTCTGACCAAAAAAAAAACATTTTCTGGACAAAAAAAACCCCCCATTTTCTGGACCAAAAAAAAAAAAAAACAAAAAAACATTTTCTGGACAAAAAAAACCCTTTTCTGAAAAAAAAAAAAAAAAAAAACATTTTCTGGACCAAAAAAAATCCCTTTTTTTGACAAAAAAAACTCCCTTTTCTAGACCAAAACCCTTTTCTGGACCAAAACCCCCTCTTCTCTGGACCAAACCCCCCCTTTTCTTGACCAAAAAAAGCCCCCTTTTCTGACTAAAACAAACCCTTTTCTGGACCAAAAAAACCTCCTTTTTTGGACCAAAACCCCTCCCTTTTCGGGACAAAAAACCCCCACCTTTTCTGGACCAAAAAAAACCCCTTTTTTGGACGAAAAAACCCACCCTTTTCTGACCAAAAAACCCCTCTTTTCTGGACCAAGAAAACCCCTTTTCTGGACAAAGAAACCCCAAACCTTTCTGGACCAAAAAACCCCCTTTTTTGGACAAAAAAACAAAACAAAACAACTTTTTTGGACCAAATCCTCCCTTTTCTGGATGAACCCCCCCCCCTTTCTGGACCAAAAAAAACCCCTTTTCTAACCAAAAAAAACCCCTTTTCTGACCAAAAAACCCCCATTTTCTGAACCCAACCCCCCCCTGCCTGGTAGGAACCATCCTGGTCCCTGCTCTCCCCAAAATCCTGCCTGTCCCAGTGGGATTCACCCACTTTGCTGGAGCTGAGTGGAAAATGCTGGTGCATCAGGGATGGAAAATATGACTTTTTTTGTGAAAGCAAGGAGCAGAGAGGCTGCTGCTTTCACCCCAAAAAGGAGCTGGTTTTGGGGTGGGGGATGCTGCTTTATTTGTTTCATTATTTATTCAAATTTTATCTATTTAAAATCGAATTTTAAAATTTTAAAATCGTAAAGTTTGGGTTGGATCATAAAATAAATCTATAAAGCCATAAAATTGTGGGGTGGTTTGGGTTGGAAGGGATTTAAAGCTCATCTTTTTCCACCCCTTGATGGACAGGGACACCTTCCATCATCCCAGGTGGCTCCAAGCTCCATCCAACCTGGCCTTGGGCACTTCCAGGGATGGGAAAATGCCATTTATTTTAAACATTTAGCAGAATTCCAATCTTCACCCACTCGAACCTTGAGCTAAAACCCAACTAAGGGAGGAGAAAGAGCTGCTGGGGGCGGTTAAGCTCCGATCCCATGGGTTTGGAGCTGGAGCTGGTGATGGATCCTGGACCAGGCACGAGGATTTCAGGATCCTCTCTGCTCCTCAGCCTCTCAGCTCAGCTCTGTGCAAAGCAGGGAGCAGCTGGCGCTGACGAGGAGCTGCCAAACCAAGCTTAATTAGTCCTGCAAGCAGAGCTGGCAGCTGTGGGGAGCCCAGGTTGGCAGGGAGGGATGGGATGGCAGCTCAGCACCCAGAAATGCTCCTTTTGCAGGGGCTGCTTTGGGCTGGATGTGCCATTTGGTGTGGAAACGCATCCAGGGATGCAGCTGGGTGGGATTGGCAGGGATGGAGGAGGGCTGGGTGTCCCTTGGCCAGGAGCAGTGGTGGCTTTTAGCTCAGAGCATTTTAAACCTCAGTCCCATCCCATCAAGCTGCTCCACATCCACATCTGTTGAAGGTTTGGGCAAAGCTGGGATGAGGAGACACAACTTCAGCAGCTTCATTCAGGGGTGTGCCTGGCTGTTTGCCCGCCTAAATCCCAATTTTTGGTGCCTGTTTGGGCTGGGTGCTGCCAGTGACAGAACAAAAATGTCACTGAGGTGACCAAAGCCTCTTCCTCCAGCAGACAGCCACAAACCAGGTGGGTTTTTGGAGCTTAGGGACCAACTTGCAAAAATCAGCAGCAAAATTTTCATGTCCAGACTTTTATTGCCAGCGTTTTTTCATGGAATTCGTGGGCAGGGACACCTTCCCCTATCCCAGGGTGCTCCAAGCCCTGTCCAGCCTGGCTTGGACGCTTGGCTCAGCTTTTCTGGGGAGCCTGTGCCAGGCTCTCACCACCCTCAGAGGAAAGAGATTCAAGCCAAGCCAAGCTGCTGGAGCATCCTCCTCTCCTTCAACCCCCAGTTCCTCTTTACTCATTTCAGCCACCCCAGAAAGGATCCTCAGATCCAAGGGGGGAAATGCCGAAATACTTGAGCGTGGCGTTTAGAAGGAAGTTGATTTTCCAGGCGTTGTGTTTCCTAGCAGGGACATCCCACGGGGATGGGAACTTCCAGATCCAGGATTGGAGATGTGATGGATGCAGAGAGCCTGCCTGACCCCATTTGGGGAATTTGGGGGTTCCCAGGGTGGTGGAGTGATGGCAGCCCTTGGATTCCAGGTCATTCTGTGCCAGCATGATCCCAATTAATCTCCAGTTCTCCCTCCATCAGAGCTCAGCAAAATCCCCAGAGTGAAACTGAAAACCACCCAACATTTCCTGCTCTTGCCATTATCACAGGAGCTCGTGCTGAGCTCTGCCTGCACTGGAAGGAGTTTCCTGGCATTCCCAAGGGAATTCAGGCTGTGCCTTATTTCCCTCACTCAATGGCACACGTGTGTGCCTGCATAATGGGATTCCTGCCTTGGAGCCCACAGGTTAACGAGTCCTTCCTCGTTAATTTCATGCTGATGATGTTGAACAGGGCCAGGACATGGATATTGTCTCTTTTGGGCTGTAATTGCAGCTCGGGATCCTGCCAGGTTGTTTTGGTGTTTTTCTGTTGGGCGTGGAAAGGGTGGGGTTTGTTTCAAGGGGTGCAAAAAGCTGGAGAGGAGCTTTGGAGAGGACACAGGGAATGGCTTCCCACTGCCAGAGGGATGGATGGGATACTGGGAATTCCTGGCTGCGAGGGTGGGGAGGGGCTGGAGTGAATTTCCCAGAGAAATCCCTGGATCCCTGGAAGTCTCCAAGGCTGGAGCTTGGAGAAACCTGGGATAGGGGAAGGTGTCCCTGCCATGGCAGGGGGTGGGATGGGATAATGGGATAATGGGATAATGGGATGATGGGATGGGGTGGGATGGGATTTAAGGTCCCTTCCAACCCCAACCATTCCACCTCTCTTTGATAAATCCAAACAAAACAAACCCCATGGAATTTTGGGTTCCACACCTTCCCGGGGGCACAGTGGGGTCTCCTCTCTTTGGGATTTAAAAGCTGCTTTTGTGGCTGCCCCTTGGAGCAGCTCCACTGGGGCTCTTTTCCGGGGTGGGACTTTCACCAGCTCACTTTGCAGTGACACCTGCTGCTTTTGTTTTTTCCTTTTGTTATTCGTGGTGGAGGAAACGCCCCAGGTTTCCCCAGGGGGGGAAATGCTCCAAAACCATCGCTGGCCCCAAACTGGTTCTCACTTGAAGCACCTGAGGGTGTGGTGGCTCCTGGAGGGCTCCTCTGAGTTGCCCCAGAGTCCCCAACCTTGTCCCAGCAAGCTGGTGACCCCTCCCAAGAGGGTCCCACCCTTCCCTCTCCGTATTTTTGGGGCTGTTTTCCCCATTTTTGTGTCCCTGGGGATGGCTTTCCTTGCAGCAGGGTTGGATAGACAGAATTATTTAAAGGATCAGGGCTCTAACAGCCATACAGATGCTCTCAGCCGTCATACAGATGCTCTCAGCCGTCCTCCCTGCTCCCATGGATCCCAAACATGGAATGATTGAGGTCCCTGAAGTGATTCCCTGCCGCTGGAGCAGCTCCTTTGTATGAAAGGGCACAGCATGGAATTGTTTAGGCTGGAAAAGCCCTCTGAGATCGAGTCCTCAGCACCGCCAACCCCACCACTAACCCCTGTCCCCACAAGTGCCACATCCAGACACTCCTGGAACACTTCCAGGGGTGACATTTGCTGCCTCTGTGGCACCCAAACCAGGCAGCAGCAGCAGCTTGGAACCTGCTCCAGAGCCCTGGAGTTCTGGTGACCTCAGACAGAAACCTTGGAGTTCCAGGCAGCAGCAGCAGCTTGGAACCTGCTCCAGAGCCCTGGAGTTCTGGTGACCTCAGACAGAAACCTTGGAGTTCTGATGATCTCAAACAAAAACCTTGGAGTTCTGATGATCTCAAACAAAAACCTTTGAGTTCTGATGATCTCAAACAAAAACCTTTGAGTTGTGATGATCTCAAACAGAAACCTTTGAGTTCTGGTGACCTCAAACAGAAACTTTTGAGTTCTGATGATCTCAAACAGAAACTTCTGAGTTCTGGTGAAAAGCTGGACCTTTCCCAGCTGCTGTGCCAGAGCCACAGCACATCCCAGGGCTTTGCAGGGAAAGGAGGAGCAGGAGGGATGAGCCCTGCTGCTCAAACCCTTCTCCAGCCATGAAAAAAGAGCGGGGAGAGATGAGCTCAAGCCCCAGGGAAACAACCCACGGGCTGAGCTGCACCTCCAGGGATGGCACCGAGGGGAGCAGATCCAGCCAGGAGCTCGGGCTGGCACTGGGAGCTGGGCTGGAGCGTTTTGGCAGCATTTCCCACGAGATGCTCCCTCCAGCCCAGCACCAGGGAGTTAAATCCTGGCCCTGTGCATCCTCCAGCCCTGGGCTACTTGCCCGCTGACTGAAACCTCTTCCTGTGCTGCAAACCCCGCTGAATGCAAACAAAAACTGTCCCTGGGGGCTGGGCTTGGAGGGCTCGGGGCAGGGGACACAGAAGGAGCCTGGGGATGTCTGTGAGGGTCCCTGGTGCTGTGAATGATGGAACCATGGAGCTGAGTTTTGTTTTTTGTTCCCTTTATTTGAAGGCAGTGAAGGGCCAAGAGGAGCAGAGCTTCCCTTAGAGGCACAAATCACCGGAGAGATCGGCTTCTGGTAAAAAATAACCCCACCTTGTGCTCCCCTCCTCATCCTCAAAGCTGGCATGACTCCTCCTCCAAGCACAGGCAGCAGTGCCAGGCTGATTCCTTCTCTAAATCCTTAAATCCCTCTCTCCAAGCACTCTAAACCCCCTGAGATCATCTTGAGCTGGCCATGCCCTCATCTTTTCCTTAAAACACCACAATTCCCTTATTTTAGGGCTCGTCCCATCGCCCAGGGGTCTCGCTACTGCAAAATAAAATCCCATTTTGGAGCTGGCAGGCAGCTCCAGGCAGGCAGGAGCTCTGCTGGAAAACACTTGCTGCTGGAGGAGCTGGATGCTGGGATTCTGCTGCCTCTGCCAGAGCTCTCTGCTGCTAGAAAGTGCCGGAAAAACATCCGGGATCCGTGGCCTTAATGAGCATCCCCCGCCTGCCTGGGGTGGAAATCTCGAGAAACAGGAAACTCCAGCATCCTGTTTAGCATCTCAATGTGCAAATTGGCAGCAGGGACACGGCCAGGGGAGGCTGAGGGACACTGGACACACACTGGGCAGCGGCAGGGGCTGGGTGATGGGCAGGGAATGGGTCTGGCACGGAAATCCCGTTCCCGGATTTTTGTGGCTGTTGGCGGGCTTTGATGGAAGAGCAAAGAGCAAAGCACAGCTCAGCTGGGCTCTGCAGAGTCCCAGTGCCACCCCAGTGCCACCCCAGTGCCACCCCAATGTCACCCCAGTGCCACCCCAGTGCCACCCTAGTGCCATCCCTGCCCGGGGGACAGCGGGGAGGACACCGTGTCCCTGCCCTGGGTCATCATCTGCCATCCTCACCCCTCATTTTGACGGCTCTAACGCTCCCCACGTGCGGCCTCAGCCCATCCTCTGGGGTCCTGCAGGGCTGGGAGCATCCCAGCGGCTGATCCCGCTGTTTTCCTGTCCTCAGCCCATCCCCTGGGGTCCTGCAGGGCTGGGATCCCACTGATCCCGCTGTTTTCCTGCCCACAGCCCATCCCGGGAGCGCTCCTGGCCTGCCCATGGCTAGCAACAACACTGCTAGCATAGCACAAGCCCGCAAGCTGGTGGAGCAGCTGAAGATGGAGGCCAACATCGACAGGATAAAGGTTGGGATGCTTGGCAGCTGCCTCTGGCAGTGCTGGGAGGTGGTGGCCGCTGGCCAGAGCTCGTGGAGGGAGCTGGGATGCAGAACCAGGCGGTGTTTTGGGGGGATTCTCTTATGTTAAGTGATCCTGAGGGCCCTGGCTGAGGGCAGCGGGAGCTGGGATCGCAGAATCCGGGAATGGTTTGGGTTGGAGGAGACCTTAAAGCCCTTCTCCTTCCATCCTCCTGCCAGGGACACCTTCCACCATCCCAGGCTGCTCCAAGCCCCATCCTGGACGCTCCCAGGGGTGGGAGGCAGCTGGAACTGGAGCCCCGTGGGGTGGTGGGAAGGAGTGACTGTCCCCAGAGCATCTCAGCTCCTTGCTGAGAGCTTAAATCCAGGGAGAGAAGTGCTCCAGGGCTGGGATGAGCCCCGGGGGCCTGGGAGCTGCTGCCATGCATTTCTGGGGTTGTTTTCCCCATTTTTGTGTCCCTGGAGATGGCTTTCCTTGCAGCAGGGTTGGATAGACAGAATTATTTAAAGGATCAGGGCTCTAACAGCCATACAGATGCTCTCAGCCATCCTCCCTGCTCCCATGGATCCCAAACATGGAATGAATGAGGTCCCTGAAGTGATTCCCTGCCACTGGAGCAGCTCCTTTGTGTGAAAGGGAGTATGACAACTCCACCACGGAATGCTGCTCCACGGTGGGATAAAGAGTGGTGGGTGGGGGCAGGAAATTCCTGCCAAGGGATGCTGAAGTCAGTCCTTGTCTGGTGCAGGAGGGGAATGGGGGAAGGCTGGGAAGGCTGGGAATGGGAATACAGCCAGCTCAGAGCCCAGAGGTGAAGAACCAGCCCGGAACCAGCCCCAGCAGGGCCGCGCTGCTCCGTCCTCATCTCAGATCCGATATTCCCTGCCTGGGGATGCTGCCAGCCCTTCCCTGCTGGTGCCACCTCTCCAGGTGGGATGTCCCCAGCACAGCCTGGCCCTGACACGGGGCTCCTCCTTTTGCAGGTGTCCAAAGCAGCAGCAGACCTGATGGCGTACTGCGAAGCCCACGCCAAGGAGGACCCTCTATTGACCCCTGTCCCGGCCTCAGAAAACCCCTTTAGAGAGAAGAAGTTCTTCTGTGTGATCTTGTAAACCCTGGAGGAGCCTGACGGGCACTCAGGCCACCCTGAACACTGATGTAGAGTTTTTAGGAATGGGGATGACCTGCTGGTCGGCAGAATTTAAACAAAAATAAGTTAAAAAAACACGGCCTGGAAGCTACAGAGATGTGCATGTTTAAAGAACCTGGCCACCTTTGGGGGAATCAGATGATCTGCATTGCCAGGCAAAAGATCTGAAGTCTGTAGAGTTGCCTAGAAAGAGAAAAACAAACAAACCAACAAACAAACAAACAAAAAAACCACAAAAACCCCGTGTAAAGAATAAATCTGTGTCACTTTTCTGCTCACAAAATTGTTCGATTGTCCCACATTTAAAGCACCAGAGCTGTGCTGAGCAAAGTTAACTGCTAAGGATGTGTAAAAAACCTTCTTGGAATGATGTTGTTGGTTTCTTTCCAAGCTAATAATTTTGATTTGTCGGATATATAGCGACAGGTTCGGTGGCTGTGCTGTTACTCAATGTTTGGTCTTGTGCTTTTTTCATTTCTGGCTGTAGCGTAGCAGGGGAGGGGTCCAGGGGACAGCGGCAGCTCCGTGTCCCCAGCAAACCCCGCTTTTTTACCATTCTCTCTATGGTTAGCTTTGGTTCTGCAAGTAAAAGTGATTCCTGTGTCGTGCTTGGTGCTTCATGGCCCTGTGATGACATTCAGTGGTAGTGCATGAGAGTTTAATTCCGTTCATCCGCTCCAGACTTTGCTTTTCTAGCGTTTGGCACCACGTGCTGGTGGAAGGAGCCGTAGGGAGGAGACAGAGGCGATTCTGAAAGCAAAGAGAGCTCCTGAGATGCCTTAGACGTGCCTGAAATACCTCCTGCCCTAGGGCAGGTGCCAGCCCGGGCGCAGGGCGAGCCAGAAATCCCAAAATCAAAGTCGACCACTTCTTTCCGGGTCTTTCCTTTCTCCTACACCTCCGTGCCTCTGCCCTCCTCGCTCGGTCCCGCTCTTTTCCCCCGTTCCTGGTAGCGTTTCCTTCCCTTGGGGATGGTCTGGAATGTTGCTGGCGTGTTGTTCAGTGCTGGGATGCTGCTTTGTGGTGGAATGCTGCGTCGGGGTGGGGTACAGCCCCATGGTGGGATGCTGCTCCTCCATGGGATGCTGTCCCACCATGGGGATGCTGTCCCACCATGGGATGCTGCTCCATGGTGAGATGTTGCTCCATGGTGGGATGCTGCTCCACCATGGAAAGCTGCTCCATGACGGGATACAGCTCCATGGTGGGATGCTGCTCCACCACGGAATGCTGCTCCTCCATGGAATGCTGCTCCATGGTGGGATGCTGTTCCATGGTGGGATGCTGCTTCCCCATGGGATGCTGCTTCTCCATGGGATGTTGCTCCATGGTGGGATGCTCTTCCATGGTGGGATGTTACTCCACCATGGAATGCTTCCCCATGGTGGGATGCTGCTCCACCATGGGATGCTGCTCCACCATGGAATGTTGCTCCTCCATGGAATGTTGCTCCCATGGTGGGATGCTGCCCCATGGTGGGATGCTGCTCCTCCATGGTGAGATGTTGCTCCATGGTGGGATGCTGCTCCACCATGGAATGCTGCTCCTCCATGGGATGTTGCTCCATGGTGGGATACAGCCCCATGGTGGGATGTTACTCCAAAACGGGATGCTACTCCATAGAGGGATTCTGCCCCTCCATGGAATGCTGCCCCTCCATGGTGGGATACAGCTCCATGGCAGGACACTGCTCCTCCATGGGATGCTGTCCCACCACGGGATGCTGTCCCACCATGGGATGCTGTCCCACCACGGGATGCTGTCCCACCATGGGATGCTGTCCCACCATGGGATGCTGCTTTACGTTGGGATGTTCCCTCCCTTTCCTGCCCCCCACCTCCTCTCCCATTCCCATTCCCACTGCCCCCTCACCCCATTGGGAAGGGCCAGGGGAGCAGCCCTGGGAGCCGTGGGGCTGCCCCTTCCCAGAGGTGCCTGATTCCCTGTTTACACACGGCCTGGGCTCCGTGCCAGGCTGGGGAGTTACTCCCAGGTCTGCTTCATCTTCTCCCGGCTCTCGGGGGACACACGCCACCTTTCTGGGCTCCTCCTGGGGCCCACGCTTTTGTGGATGTGGCTTGTCTCTCCTTCCTGCTGCTAAACACCTCCTGGCTTTCCCCTGCCCATCTGTCCTCCTGGGAAACATTGGGAATCGTCACTCTGGGAATCACAACGTGGGGATTTATGTACAAAACGAGCTGGGTGTCACAAAGGGGTCTGGGGGTCTGCGCTGACCCCGCTGAACCGCTTCTGAATCAGGTGCGAGCTTAAAAATCCCTGTGGATCCGGGAGGGCAAAAGTCTTTCTGTACCTTTTGGTAACTCTTTCTAGCCCGTGAAAAATAGTGCTTTTTTTGGTTTTTCTACCTTTTCATACTCTTTTTCTAGTTCTTCTACAGAGAAGGCCAGTTCTTCTCGCTGGACTCCAAACTTTTGGCACCTGGGAATGTTTATAAACCACGAGTAGCCTAGATGGTCCCAGCCCCCACTAATTCCCCCAATTTTGATCTTTTTACTACAGCTCCCGTAGCTTTAGGATGAGGGGTGGATGAAGTGGTTTTCTCTGCAGCTGGTTTCACTCTTGGTGTTACCAGGCAGAGATGTAAAAACCCCATCCTGAGTTTTATCTTTTCTTTTTAATCAGATTTGTTGTCACAGAGAGAGCGAAGCGCAGCCGGTCTGACCCGGGGCTCCCACCCCACCCCTTCTCAAACACCCTCACAAAAGTGATTTGTAATAAATTTTTTTAATGACTTGCCTGTTTTACAACTCGAATTCTTAATAACTTAGACGACAAAATAAACCTGCATGAGTAGGGGGGAGCGGGGAGGGGGAAGATTTTCAATTAACCCAAACTACTCATTGAAGGTGTTTTACGTTGCTGGCCTTGATTTCCTGTTGGTTTTGCTGTTGCCATTGGTGTGCTGCCAGCTATTTCCCCCCCAGTATTTCTATTTACACAGATCTGCCTTTGTTAGCCTGCCAAGGTGGTTTCCCCTCCCCAAAACAAAAAAAATCCCACCCATCCCTCCATCCCCATGCTGGATTTCCAGCCTGGTCTCAAAGGACATTCCACTGCCCCCAAGGCTTTTAAAGAAAATAAAATCTGGAGTACTGGAAAAAAGGACTTTTATTGTCTGCAAAGGTTGCTGGTGGCGAGTCTGTCCATGGGTTGCCATCCTGCCAGCAGCAGGATTTTGGGGAGGGGGTGGTTGTAGGCGAAAGCCAGTCGTGGTGTAGCGCATCCCCATCCCACATGGTCTGTGTACTCGTTGGAAATAAACTTTTTGGATTTGTTTCAAGCCTTTGGAGATGCTGCTCTCTGCGTGCCGGCCCCTGGGGAGGCGGGATCCCGTCTGGGTTGTGGTTGGATGCAGTTCCCAAGGGGGTCTCCCTGCCAGGGAGGGTTCAGCAGGAGTTTTGGTGCCTCTTAGGGTGAGAAGTGAAACCTCTTGGGGTTTCAGCAGCTTTTTGTTCCCACGGGACGAGGCAGGTCAGGGGAGGTCAGGGTGGGACATTGCTCCTTGCTTCAGAGACACCTAAAATTTCCAATTTCGGTGTCCATCCCTTCTCCCCTCTCTTTCCATCTTCTCCCTGGCACTCAGCACAAATCCAGAGGAGGCCACGGAGCTGCTCCAAGGGCTGAGCCCCTCTGCTCTGCAGCCAGGCTGGGAGAGCTGGGAATGCTCACCTGGAGAAGGCTCCAGGAAAACCTCAGAGCCCCTTCCAGGGTCTACAGGAACCTCCTAAAGAAGGACAGATTTTTATAGGATCTGGAGAGACGTCAAAAATTGTTTTAAACTAAAAGAGGGTTGATTCAGACTCAGATATAAGGAATTTTTTTTTAATTAGGAGGGAGGTGAAGCCCTGGCACAGGGTGCCCAGAGCAGCTGTGGCTGCCCCTGGATCCCTGGAAGTGCCCAAGGCCAGGCTGGACAGGGCTTGGAGCCACCTGGGACAGTGGAAGGTGTCCCTGCCATGGCAGGGGTGGCACTGGGTGGGTTTTGAATCCTTTCTAACCCAAACCATTCCAGGATTTCGATTCCATTTTGTGATTTTTCCTTCTTCTACTACCAAAACACCTCCTGATCACAGGATCAAACACTGCTCCTACCAAATTCCCCACATCCTGAATTTTCCCTTCAGCTTCACAGGACCCTCAGGGTTGAGTGTTTTCCCACTGGGAAAATTTTTTTCCCACTGGACACATTTTGAGGCTGCTTGGCCTCAGCTCATTCCTGGGGCCTGGAACAAGGTGGCACCTTGGCTTCTGAAATAAAACCACCAACCCCGAGCCCAGCATGGATCTGTGCCGACATCCCAGCTTTCCAAGCATCCTGACAAGCAGCAAGATCAGCTCCCAGCCCTTCCATCCTTTCCCGTGTCCATCAGAGCAGCTTCAAAGCGAAATGGTGTCTCTGGGAAGGAAGGAGCCAAGTCTCTCCTCGCCTGCCAGGCAGCTCAGCTGTTCCTGGCTCCTCTCCAGCTCCAACGCTTGCTCCTTTCCATCCTCACCTCCCCAGGCTTCAGCAGCACCTCGGAGCCAGCAGCATCCAGAGCAGGAGGAGGTGTGGAGCTTCCATGGAGAGCGTGGGTGAGACGCTGCTCCCGCCGGAGTCGGGCTCTGCCCGGCTCCCTGATGAGAATAAACCCGTCTGCGCTAATTGCGTTCATTAGCTCTGCAGCGGCGAGAGGAGAAGCACAGCGCATCTCCTGGCTGTGGGTTTGTCCCGTGGGCCGCTGCAGGAAGGGTTGTTCCCAAATGGACTCCACCTTTTGGGATCCCCAAATCCGGGCTGGAATCCGAGGGTGATGAAGGCAGGAGGTGTCACTGCCTCCGTCCTCATCACTCGTGGTGCCGGGGACACTGTGTGACACTCGTGTGGCTGAGGGCACCGTGGGGACGGGCCCAAGCTCCTTTTCTCCATGCTGGAGTTGTTGTGTCCTGCTCAGCTGAACGTCACTGCTGGCTCCAGAGGGACGCTTCCTCGGGAACTGCAGCGACAGGACAAGGAATAACAGGTTCAAAGAGAAAAAATGGGAAGTTTAGGTTGGATATATGGAATTCTTGGCTGGGAGAGTAGTGGCACAAGGTGCCCAGAGAAGCTGGGGCTGCTCTTGGATCCCTGAAGTGTCCAAGGCCAGGTTGGACAGGGCTTGGAGCACCCTGGGACAGTGGAAGTGTCCCTGCCATGGCAGGGGTGGAACTGGATGGGTTTTAATGTCCCTTCCCATCCAAACCATCCTGGAATTCCCAAAAAGCAGAAGGAGGCTGACAGGGAGCCCCTGCCCTGCTGACACCACTCGTGGAAGGCTCCCCAGTGCTCCCAGTACCCCATTGTATGGCTCCCAGTAAAGCTCCCAGAGCTCCAAGTACTCCCCAGTGCAGCTCAGTGCTGCCAGTACAGCTCCCAGAACTCGTGGTATATCCCAGGACAGCTCCCAGTGCTCCCAGTATAGCTTCCAGTGCTCCCAGTACCCCCCAGGACACCTCCCAGTGTCCACAGTACAGCTCCCAGTATAGCTCAGTGCTCCCAGTGCCCCCAGTACAACTCAGTGCTCCCACTTTCCCCCAGGACAGCTCCCAGTACCCCCCAGATTAGCTCCCAGTACAGCTCAGTGCACCCAGTGCCCCCCAGTATAGCGCCCAGTGCTCCCCAGTACAGCTCCCAGTTCAGCGCAGAGCCGAGATGACGTCAGTCCAAGCCCCGCCCCTCGCCCCGGACACGCCCATCATAGGCCCCGCCCCAAAT